GGCTGGAGCAGGCAGCCTCCGTCCCTTCCAACCGAACTTTTCCTGCAATTCTGTTTTAAACTGTGTTTTTGTATAACGGTTCCTATCTAAGAAAATAGATTGAGGCCAAGTTTGCTGATGGCAATGCAGGAAAAGAGAGTGAAGCCAAGTTTGCTGATGGCAATGTTTAGAGTAGATTAGAAAGCACAGTGAGAAATGAGAGAAAAACCTAATTGAATTAGCAAACTGGACATCACAATGACAAACTAAATTCAGTACAGATCAGCATAAGATACGGCATACTGTGTTAAACTAATGGATTCAGATACTAAGTCAGTGTGAAAATCCAACACTCAGCCTTCCAAGGKAAAGGTCTTGCTGCCACCATGAGCAGCACAATATGCCCTGGCGCCGTGCTCTACAGCAATYGAGATGAAGAACCAACTACACACAAATACATAGCTGAAAGAAGAGTATAGTGTGAAAATGAGTTGGATATATTTTCTTTCAGTATTTATCCTATTATTCATTATCTATTTTTATTATCTCTCAATAAAACAAAGAAGAACTACAAATGAGTAACTCTTGCACAGAGTTTAGGAAAGAAGATGTCACCATATAACAGAAATTAAACTTGATAATTAGTTGGTTAAGTAGTCCCAAAGACAAAATAATATCATTGTGGAATATATGCTTACACAACAGAGAGACAACTTGGAGTTTCATAACTCAAAATACAATGAAACAAGAATGTTATCAACCTAATATTATCAAGTAGCTGCTTCTTTTAATGAAGAACGGTTAGCTTAAAAATTCACTAACACACATATTAGTCAGATTTTTTAAATAAACGGTTTATGGCATAAACTGATAACAAACAGATTAAGTATTATGGATAAATTCTAGGCGTATTATGGGATAGAATTTTTTTCCCCAATTCTTCTAGTTGTTTTTTCTGTGTTTAACAGGAAAAAGAGAAAACACTTTTATTAGATTTTTAAAGTGTCCCACCTAGTGTGTGTCTCTCTTACTATCAGTATTTGATGTTTTAATGACTTATTTACAGCAAAGAAACAGCGCACATTATCACACTGCTGACAAGCTTTTTACATTGCATTTCTAACAAGTGCGTAGCACTTTGGCAGAACACTTCTATTATTGTCTTAAAAATGAACCAACTCAGTATTTTAACCAGGGTTATTTAACATGTCGAGTCAAATATAAACAGTCCACTCCTGCTAGAGTACTTCACAGCACTATCTTTAAAAAGGCCAAGAGCAAACTCCTCCCTTTGACGTATGAAGGCTCCTCTTAAAACCTATTGCCTGGTCTCTGCCCGTCAGCTTTACCAAAACCTCTTAGATTCATCAGGTTCCATTTAACAGAAGTCTTGGCTTTAAGAGCCTGACTGCAATGTTCACTGTGCTGCCCCCATGTCATACTTCATTTTAGTGTCTTCTAGAAATCCCAGGACTCTAACATAACTGCCAATTTTGAAGGCTATACACAGTATATTAAAAAATCAAACCAAAGAAAATAAAAAAAAGAAAGAGGTAGAGGAAGCTGAATCAGCCTTGACTTCAGAGATTAACAAGAATAATGTCAACAGCACGAAATTCAGTGCAGAAATGCTCAAGTCTGTCTTTGTCACTGAAGATGAAGTCTTTATATACACTCCATTGAAAAGTCTTATGGAATTCTTGGCAAAAATAAAAATTGAAGTGTTTTGGTATTGCACATTTTTTCTAAATTTAACATTAGCCTCAGGAAAACAGCAAATACTTACCGTCACAATCGAACTGCAACGTGAATAAAACCAATTTACTCCATTTCTTCTAAAAAGAAAACCATTGTTCCCATCTTCTCACATGAYTGAACTCAACACATACAATAACAGCAGGCCACAAGGCCAAGTACCTCCACAAGGCTGCAAAACTTGCTCTCTCTCTAAACACGAAGCAGTTACTAGCCTGAGAAGGACCCTGGGATCCCATCCTTTGTTGCAAGGAAGCTTTTCCGTAGAGAGAAGCTCTCTTCTCTTACATGTTACATCAGTAACATGTATGTCTGTATCCAGAATCAAATTTGTGTTTGTTACACTACTGGAGCTCAAGAGCAACTTGATTGACTTGGGTAGATTTAGGAATTGTCAACATCAAAAAAAGTTTTTAAAAGGGATTTTACTGAGATACTTTTAAAGGTTCAGAAAGCAAAGTAAGGTCTCTGCATTGGATGTCTTCTCAGAAATGTAACTGTAACCACTGCCAGGCTTACACCAATACAGCCATCTAACTACCTTACTAAAAGGGATTCTAATTTATTCTTATATTCTTAAGAAAATATTCTTAAATTTTCTTTAAAAATATTCTTACAAAAAAAAAAAAAGAACCTGCATCTTACCTTGTAATGTTTCTCAATTAACATAGCACAGACCTGACTGCATATAGAGTGCTATTCTGAAGGCAACAAAACCACACTGACATTTGTGACAATGTGAATGTGACTCAAGCAACATTTCCAGCAACCAAAAACCCAGTTTTCCTCTTGTCAAAAGCGCAATGCAGGTTTAACAATTTTTTTCAGTAATCAAATACCTGCCTGCAAACATAGCAATTATAATTATGATGAATAAGAGCATTATTTTAATCATGGCTACTTTCCAGAGCAGAATGACACCAGGCCAGACATGCTACAGAATAAGCAATGAGAGCCCTGAAAAGCACAAACCAAAACCAACCAACCTGCTGAGCAAAACAGCTGGCTTTGCTTATTTCCCATACAAACTCTTGAGCCTCAACAAAGATACTAATTGCTGCTATGCACTCTGCAGTATGTTTGGGGAAATCTGTCTTGGGAGAAGGTTGCAGAGTGAAATATGCTATAAAGCCAAAGTTGGTCATAAAAGAGGAAAAAAAATCAAAGAAGATTCTTTTAAAATGTTCTTTTCAATCTCATTTGCAATAAGGGAAGAACAGAACTGTGTAGTGTAAATATTGCACTACCTGTCACCTCAGCTCTACTGACACAGCTCAGCAATACTGACACAGCTCAACCCTGACCTGCAGCAACCTGCTCTTCCAGCTTCCACATCCACATGGGAAGAGGTTAAGCCAGGGGTATGGCTTTACAAGATGGACAAATGTCCATGAAAGATAAGGCTGACACCACCAGTCTCACTTTCACCAACTTCCATCTGTCCAAGCTCAAAGAGGAGCACATTAACCTCGATAGACCTTTGGGTCTCCTCTGTTCTGCTCTCCTAGGACAACTAGCAGGAAGAAATCAGTAAATCATTGCTCACCAAAGCACACCTCTAAACAGCTTCAATACTCACAAACAGAAAATAAAGGTCATTATAGCATGAACATCGTGCTATTTCAAATGATGAGTAGGTATTGTAGATAGTCTGGGCAAGAACAGATCAAAGTCAGGAAAAAAAAGAAGAAAAAAAGAATGGCAGGGTAGGGGGATGAAACCTTTTGCAGAGGTGGCTGTTGTCTGGGAAGATGGATTTGGGGCAGCAGCAGGACAGACACACAGACTGCCAGCTGCTCCCAAAACTGGGAGCTGCACAAGGAGCAGACATCCCTGAGATACAAGAGAACAGGGAGTCCTCAAAAACATGGTGAAAACGAAACAGAGGGGAGCAGGCACAAAAACAAGCCTGCAGGGAATCATAAAAACATTTACATATTAGCAAGGACTCATTTCCAGGACAAAGCAGAGCTCCTATTGTTCTCACTGACTCCTTGGTGGGTTTTTCCCCTCACCACTCTCCTCAGGGTCAAGGGAGGAGGTCTGAAAGGGATCAATACCGGTAATGTTAATGCTGATAAAGCTGGGTTCCTCATGCTTTTCAAGCACGATTTATCTACACTTAAATAAATATCAATAATGGCATTACAGGAAGCGCAGGGAGGGAACAAAGGCAGAAAGACAGGAAAAGCTGAAGTAGTTCATTTCCGGTGCCCATATGACTAGAAACCTCTTCCCAACCCCTTCCATGCTACACAGAAATTGTTACCAAGGAACATTTATGTCTGCTATAATCAGCAACATGGGGAACCTTGGTAGGAGACCTCACAGTATTTGTCCAAACCAGGTTCTTCTCCATATTTTCAACTTTAATCATTAAAACTCGACAAAATAAAGTTTTTATATGCACACACACATATGTATATCCATGTATATATATATATATACACACACATGCATACATGTGCACACACAGCTTATAAGCGAGTTTCAGTCATATCAGCTCTTTATAGCATACCTACACCTTTTTTCTCCTATCAGGAGGCATTCCTTTACAATCATATTTAAAACAACCTTTAATCATGTTGTCTATTTTCACTACGAATATCTCACTCCCCCACACTCTTTTTTTAATAAAGCTAAGCATCTCCTAATTATCAGATTCCTTTGTTCACATATTTTAAATTTAATCAGAACACTCAAGGTGTCAATAATCACATTTGTCTTTCCATCAAGAAGCAAAAACAGAAGTAAAGCTGATGCTGCATAACAATCATGTAATCTACAGTTCCGCATCTCAACAACTGAACTTTAAGAAATCCAAAACATTCATGTCTAAGTTGAAAATTTACAAAGGAAATCAGAAGTAATAAAGCAAACAACTTGATCTAAGCACTTAAAAGACACTAAAAAAACAAATCAGCACTGTTTTCCTAAATCAGCAGCAGCATCTCAAACATGTAATTAGCCAAAATAAAAGAGGGAAAGTCACTATTATGTTAGATATTTACTGCTAAAACATTATTCCCACAAGTTGTTTCAAACATTAAGTGATGGCCAAAAGTTAATACAAAGCCTAGAGTGCCCTCTTTCTTCTCTATGAGGAGTTTCATCCAAGTATTATATTTCTATCAGCTATCAGTTTTGTTTTCACTAAGTCAAATAAAGCAATTGAGGGTATATAAAAATTAAAATTAAAAACATTTCTGCAGCATACTCTTAGATTCGTAATGAAGGCGATTTTATTTTAATGAAAGTCTACTTACAGGGCCATCTGAAATTGTTCTAGCCACTTTTTCTTCAAGTCCTTAGTTTTACAATAAACTTCTAATCCATTTTGACCTTGGATATGAATGAGGTAGAAGCCATAAGACCACTGCATAAAAAAAAACCAGCAATACACAGACTCAACGATTGAACAACAGTTATTGGGGAGGGTTAGGGGGTGGGAGGGGGCGTGCAAGAAAGAAAGAAAAGCAACTTTGGGTTCCCTAATACAAATCCTGACTGAGAGCACATTATTATATGACTTTGCTCACTTGGGAATGGCTTACTCAAAAATTTTAGTTATCTCAAAACAAGCAAAGTTGAAATCCCTAAGCATTCATTTCAAATAACTTAGAGCTTATTTAATACAGAAAGCTTGGTAAATAAATTTCATATACATTTCTTACACAATTGTGAACTCGCACAATTTCTGAACGTTTCTGAAAGCACACGTTTTATTAGCAAGATAGTAATTTGTAAAATATATATACCTTTTTATTTTCTTTATCAGTAGTGGGGTTATTTGTAATTTTGTATTTTTGAAGATCTATTATTTCCTTCATTTCATAATTATCACCTCTCCGTTTACAAACAATTACAGCTAGATCAAACAAGAAGATATGCCTATAGAAATACAACATCAAAAAAGGGTTAAAACACCTTGTAAAGTCAACACCCAAAGTCCTCTAAGTGCCACAGGCAATTAAAATACTGTATAAAAGAACATGAAATACTTGAAGTATTTTTGCAAGCAGTTCACAGAGACTTAGATGACCCCAAAAGATAATGTACTGGCTAACTTGCCATGAACCACTTCGCAAATTTACTTTAACATTGATAGGCTCCATGATTGCACAGTGAAAGAGAAAGTACTCTCAAGAATCACTGAACTGATCACAATTATAAAAGACAGAATTGTCCTGCAGACATTTTTAAAAGTAAACATCAAACCTCACACCATCACCTGTCTTGCCTTGCACGTTTGTCTAATGTAGTTATCCTTATTTCCCCATCACCTTGTGGCCTCCCATACTGTAACAGGGAATGGTTCTGAAAACAAAAAATATGYAATATTAGCCTAGTAGATGAGCTAAAAAGTTGACATATAAGGTGGACTGCCCCTCTTTATCCCCTTTTTCAATTCCAAACAAGCAAACAACCAAGAAAAAAAACAAACACATCCTTATTTCACTTTCATGTTAAAAAGGTTGACAAAGCATCAGTACTTGACATTTATTTTCCATTTTGAAAACACCTGCAGCACTATGCAAATAATATTTAAGTGCACAAATACATTTAACTGTACACAAATGCCAAAAATAGTGAGCAGGAATATCCATACTTAAGCACATTACCATTCTAAACCAACTTAAGCATGCATACACAGGAATACTATAACGGCATGTAAAATGGGTGGTGGGGGTGGAAAAAGTATGTCAAACAAGACGTTTGATCAGAAGTGATTTTAAAACTACATAAATGAGAAATATCACATACCAAATTTTCTATTGATAGCTGAAATTGTCTAATTTCACGGAGTGTTTCATTATCTCTCTTTACTTCATTTACATATTGAGCCAAGTCCTAGAGCATCAAGGGTAAAAGGGAGAAAAGCTTTTCTGTAACAGAGCACATAACTTTTTTAAAAAACGATTATGCAGAGAAGGCTAAAAAAGATATAGCTATCTTTAATATTCGACTACCTATATGTACACCTAAATAAATAGCAAAAACCCTCTACACATTTTCAAGTCATATTTACAACTTTCTTCTTTCAATTCCAAATTCAGTAGCAAGATAAAGAAAAACCATATAATAAATTGTAAAAGAGGACTTTTTCTGAATTTGGTTAATATCTTGTTTTCAAAACTAGACTTGGAAATGTAATTGATGTACTGCACAGTCTGAAAAAACACTTGACACTAACACCTAAAAACAAAGAGTAAATACCACATATAAAACGTGGTATAATGCTGCTCCAAAGCCACAGTGTATAAAGACTGCGTGCTTGTACAAAGAGAAGTTATTACACAAGGGATTTTAAAAGGAGCTTGTAGCAGAGTACATACTTCTGAAGTCAYATTCATTGATCTAATTGATCTCATTCAGAACTTGAATTATTGTTGTCTATTGTTGGTGTGTTACCAGCACATCTCATGTTTCACTGACACCTTTAAAATCATCTGAACATGCTTGAGCAATAGTGACGATTTGCTGGTGCTTCTGCTTGTGGCTGGAGACCACGAGTGAGCAAGAATGGTAATTGGTAAGGTCGGGAGTGCTGAGAGCAGCAGCTCAGAAAGGTGTTCCGATCTTCACAACCTGATTTAACAAGATCTTTCAATATGGTCACAAATTTGGARAGTAAAGAAAGGATATTTCTTCTCAAGACGCTTTTATGAGAACCTACAAATTCTGCTAAAAGAAAGCTGACCATATAAAATTTTCTTACAATTTTCTTACTGGATAGGCAGTAATAATTACTCAATTTCTACTTTGTTAGTAAATACTCCCAAAGATTTTTCATTTTTCCAGAAGACACATGTTAGGGGCTTTAGACGCAACATATCTATGCTGCATGGTTACTTCTACTGGCAGCTATGATAAGACAACACAGTAAGCAGGGGAATAATGAGTTGAGCTAACTGCAGGCACAAGCATTAATAAAGTTATTAATTTCTGTACATTTTATTTTGTTTACATTGGCTAGTCTTGTCTTCTGCCAGGCAGGACATAACTGTCACAGTGGATTGAGAATCAAAATGAGAAAAATGGGACAACTCTGTTTCAGAAACACGGCAGCTCAGAAAACTACTAAAAACTTGTTCTCACACTTCAGCAAAGACTTCAAGGATATCTTTGCCCTAGTGTACTCACCAACATCACAGTGAATGGTGAAAACATTTGACCTGTTGTGAAAAACGTTATCTCTGCCATGAAATATAATTGTGAATTATCCTTTTAATGGGGAACATGGATATAAATACTTGTCACAAATACCTTCATCGCATCAAGAGCCAGCTTTAGATTTGTCTTCTCCATAGGATCAGTAGTATGTTTTACCAGTTCCTGTTGACAGAAGAGTTAGAGCTTTTCACCCACTGGCTGTCGCTTCACAAACTGAAGCTACTATCGCTCACCCACAAAGAAATTGCCACTTACACCTTAGACAGCACAGCCCAAGAATTCACAGTTTTTTCCCTATAGTGACCTGTAGAGCCTAAAATTTACTAGAGGTTACTGCAAACAGGTCATTGGCTTAAGGATGACTGCAACACAGCCTAAAGACTGATTTTAACTATTAACAAAAACCATTAAAAGCTAATTTGGTCTGTCTAGCACTTAAAACTTGCCAATAAGATCACTACTGTATGTGCAGGTTGGAAGCACAGGTCAGACACCTTCATTTGCACATTCCACAGAGGGAACAATCCCAATTTTCTAAAATCCTAGAAAATTAAGGAATAACTATTTCATATTATAACAACTATAACTTGATAGGATTCTTTCATCTGTCAAATGTTTGTCTATGTTAACCAACTTATTTTTYGTAATTCCAGACAGTGTATAACTGACACACTAAATATCCTTTCATATTATACACAATTATAAAACCATRATTCAGATCTTATAAGCAGTTTAAGGGCTGTACTGCTCATTTTGTTTCTTTTTCCAAATTTCCATTGATCAAAATACTGATGACTCCCATTTATAGAAATATCTTAAGAAATTTAATATAAGAATGTATATTGCACTGCAGAGTCAAAATTATGCTTCACATACAAGTAGTAGCTCTTTTTAAAATGACATTTTACAAGCATCAGCAGGGTTGACAGTGTAATACAGTAATATATTTCTTTGCTGCTGAACTAATGAGTCTCCTGGCACAGCTATCAAATTAAATTTATAAGACTCTCCACCCTTATTATAGGACTAACAGTGAAAGCTAACGCTTTGTGAGTTATAACAAGAAACATTTCAAAATAAATATGGCTTTATTGTAATTTATGAAAGCAGGGAAGCATCTTAAAGGTATGCAGCATTGTTGAGCTTCCTCTATTGAGAGCCCACATTTCAAAGCACCATGATTATAGTTCGACACTACTAACCATTTTAATAATACCAACAATGAAAAGGTTCAGATGCTGGGGAAGCAATTGTGATTTGTTTGTTTTTCGCAGATGTGCTTCAGCTCTGAGGAATGAATACCGCTACGAAACCCACACTTGACTGGATTTTATTTTGTAATAAATCAGCCTAAAATCTATGGAAATAAAAATCACCTCCCTTTGGCAAAGGCTTTATACCTTATTTAAAAGTTCTACCAAGGATAAAGCATCACAGTTCTGCTATCAGATACCTAAAGCTTAAAAAGCAAAATACCTGGAGCAGCAGGTGATATTTTAGTACTCTCTGCATTGGAACCACTAAGAGATCCCGCAATGTAAACTTCCCATTATTGGCCCTCTTGGAACATTCCTGGTTCAAAGCAGAAGAACGATGAAAATAAATCAGAAAATGCAAGTATTAAAAATGATATGTACATACATATATACGTATGTATAACTAAGACAAGGCTTATATAGTCCAAGCAACTATATTAAACATAAGATGTGAAATACAAACAAAATGGAGAAAAATAAACAATACAGCAATAGAAGCAGAGCTAAAAAATAGCTGAGTCCTGCATTGGGGACAGGCTGGTTGGGAGCAACACTGCTAGAAAGGTTGAGGGATCTTGGCAGAGAACAAGGGTCCTAAGGAGAGACTGTGGGACAGTCTCTCYGCCCTGAACCATTCTGTGCCTCTAAGTTCAGTCTCCTCAAGCAGCACCAGAGCAACGCTGCAAGCTCAGGCAGGTTGCCCGTTCTTTCAGGAGGGGAAGGGACAGCTGGGAAGTATATTTGCATCAAGTAACAATGACGAGGCAACTTAAAATCTGTATGTATATGTTTTATCAATATCSATACCTCTAACTTCAACTTAACATCTTCTTTTGTCTTAGAGATGTTGTCTAAGCATGATATTGCTATCTCCACTTGACTGCAGTACTGTCCATAAATAACCAATCTAAATCAAAGCAAGAGAAAAGGAATTAAAAGAACATTTGCATATTTAAGAACCGTTTTGATCATATTTCATGAACAGATTGGTAACACACTTTCAAAGTAAATTGAAAGCCACAAGTTTCAGTGGGCAGCAAGAAAAGAAAAACAAGGAAGGCTTTTCAGGGAAAACACAGTATTGGGTTTTCTTCAAAATCCTGTAGAAGCACTGCAATTTGCCTTAACAYTCATATGTATGCATTCTGATAAGCATGGCTGCTGTTTAACAGTCCTACAGTCTGTAGTATTTAAAAACGCCATAGATATCAAAGTATATTATAAATAAATTCTATAAAATAGGCTTAACAATAAGGTTAGTTACTGCTATCTTTTTTAAAAGAAATTTTATGTTCTCCAATCCAATTCTCCAACAGTTCTTCAGTTTTGGGATTCCTCCCCCCGACTGTTGAAAACAATTTAACTTTTACCACATTTGATTATTTTTACTAACTACATTGTAAAATGCTGAGTCTACCTCCCAAACATTTCCTTTATGTATAGTAAAGGAATCTTGGGTTTGCTCTTTCTTTCCTTTTTTCCCCCTCCTTGTAGCACAAATCTCAAAGCTACTTTGGAAAAAACACGCATTACCAGAACAACTTTGTGCCATCCAATTGCTTCCTGCAGCAGGAGAAAGTCTAATAACCTGGGAGATAACTACGTCCTGCTCAACACGAAAGCTCAGAGCGAGGGACTCCGCAGGCAAGAGTGCTTACAGGCAGCTTTATAAATATACTGACATTGAATTTGATTCTACTTTAGAAATAAAATAAAAAAGCAAATAAAAATAGAAATAGTGAAACACTTTAATGACTCAGGGTAGATTATCAAAAAGTACTAAAAGTTAGTGCATAAATCTTACCTTTCCTTGTAGTTAATAAAAATCTGATACAGGTTCTGATCATTTTTGTTAACAATGGAGTCAYTGATATCCTGTGTTAAACTTCGGTGAATTTTCACCAAATCCTTGAAAACAGTGAAGGGGGAAGGGAGGAAAGTTTGGTTTTGCTTAGTTTGTAAATGGAATTACAAATGCTTTGATTTCATGTTAGAACCACCAATTTCACCAAGTTAGAAAACAGATCATTTCTGAGTAGAAGCTAAATTTCAAGGTTTGTCACATATTCAGTTCGATGCAAAAAGCTGAATTCCAAGAACTGCTTATAAAACGCTGATTTATTTTAGCTTGAAGTGTGCACTGTTAATTCGTCTTCATTTCATAATGATAATTTTAAAATTAAGTCAAGTAAATGCTTTAGTGACAAGATAAAGTAGTGATTCATGTCCCTGAGCCAKGAAAAAATAGTTTTGTACATTACAYTGGTCAATTAGTGATGTTCCAGAGCTAAGTTAACTGCAATCATAATGAGTTTTCCAATACAGGAGGCTTAAAGTACAAATACGATAGAAAGACTGGAGCCTTGTTATATAGTAGCAAAGCATCTCTGATGCTCATCGCTATTAAAAAAAAAAAAAAAAAAAAAAAACCCTTACTAGGAGTGTCTACTCCTGGCCTGACACTGCTACCCATCAACATGGGTACTGTAAGAGAAGTCGTAAGTAATTAAGTCAGGAGAGGCTAAAAAGCTACAGCCTCCACCTCAGTGAATGAGGAGAATTGCTTAGAAGTTGGGTACAGTCCACTACAAAGGAAAGAATGAGACTTTGAAAAAAGCCACTGGAGATGGTTTAACGCAGTAAAAGATACAGCACATGGATAATAATTAACATCCAGTAGGGAATTATGTGAATATAAACAGAGGATAAACATAAAATCAGTTATCACTTCCCAGCCACAAGAACAAAAACGTCTTAAAACAGATCAAATTCASTTGCCAACAACTGTATGACCATATCCTCAGGCCTTGAAGTTGCAGTACACACAGGCATCACTACAGAAATGCTTCCAAACGGATTATAGGAATGCATTTTTACAAAAGTGCACAGAGATACAATTGAGCAACAGCCACAGGAAAGAGCTGGACATTTCCTGAACAGATTCTTGCCAAACTTTTATCTCCATAGAAAACATTTACATCATTTTAAAACATTAAACATTATTAAATGTTAACAAAAGGACAAAAGCTTCATCACTTCAGCATTTGTTCATCCTTTTATCCATCTCTTTCCCTCTATATGCCTGTGTCTGTCTATACGTCTCTATACATAACCATGCACAGATGTAAATGTACACATCCCTACAGGCATGCATGGATAAATAGATAGACCTACATGCACATATATTTTATAGGACTGAATCTTACATTCAAATCTGTGAGCCCTTGTGAAATGCACTGTCTTTAGACTGGCTTTTTGTTTTGGTTTTTTTTTTTTTTTTTTTTTTTTTTTAAACCTTAGCACTAGAGGTACCTTTTAACATTAGGAGATAATTTTGCCCAGCAGGCATCTGTCAGAATCTATATACAGAAAAAAAAAAACACCTCACTCTAAAGTGCCCAGGCTTCACCACAAACCACAACTCCTTCAAAGTGGCAAACTCATCCTGTTCTGAGAYCACTGCATTTCTCTCCACATCCCAGTATGCAGTAGATCTTTAACAGAGCTATTTTTAGTTTAAAATGAGCTTCCACTGCCCTCCAGCCTTCCTGCTGAGGAACTGCTGCAGAGTCAAGGTGTGAGCAGACAAAATGTTTGCCCATACTTTTGGTTAACATAAGCCCTACATTTCTTTTCATGCTTTTGGAAGTCTATGAAAGGTTATCCTGTCAGAAATAAGCACCCTGTTGTAACCAAAGACTACTGAATACTGACAATGGAAAGCCAAGTAAAATAACTGCAGTACAGTAGCTGAGTACATCCTGATCATTTCAAATGAACAGTTTTCTTTTTACTCCTCTTACCTGTTACCCCAACACTTTTTAATGAATTAACTGACCTTGTTATGGTTATAGATCCCTGTATAGTGTTTCACTTTGGTTGGCTTTAGGTCTTCAAATGCATGTAAGTCAACATACCTAGACAGACTGAGACTTAGGAAAGGGATGTACGATAAATCAAACAGGTCAAGCTAGGGCCTTATTTACACCAAATAAGAAACGCCCATGTAGGACAGAAAGTAAACTTGTTTTGGAAAGCAGGGATCTCTCAAAAGGCAGTCAACATACTCCAAGACCTGTATGTCTACTGAAAATCTGTTACACCATCTTCCAAAGGCAGATTCTGCTAAAGTTGTATGTGTAACTTGAAGTCTTCCATGACAACATATGAAACCTAGATACCAGGATTGCTCACTAGCTATAGCTGTCTTCTGAAAACTCTGCTCAGAATCGAGGCACAACTTGGTTCAATCACTAAAATACTGACATATTTTAAAAGGCAATCCATCTTCAATGAATTACTAGCTACCTATGCAAAGATRCTCCACACTGATTGTCTGGCAAATACTGCTTTTCGTACCCTATTTCCTTAAATAGGAAAAAAAGAGGGGGGAAAAGGATTATTCTGCAAGATTTCTTMTCCTAATACATGAATGCTTTGTGAGAACATGTGCACCTTATTTCACATAATCACTTTATGCAATAAGATCTGACAAAAATGGACAGCATACAAATCTTTCAATTTTTCACTAAATACATAATTACTTACAGGAATGTTGATGAAAACAGTATCAAACTCTGATGCTGACAAAAACCTTTTCAACGGCACCATGAAAAACTGTTAGAAAAAAATATACATACACACATTAACTATGTCATTTTCCAAGCTGTGAATAATAATTATAAAATATGTAAACAACAACTCTTGAGTATCTTACTTTTTCTATTGATTCCAATGTTTCAGTATACTTCTCTTCAGTTTGCTTTATTTCAGCGAGACAACAGCTTCTTATGTCATTTTCAGCRTGTTTCTGCAATTACAATGAAGTCAGGTTTAAGTCATTATTGAATACATAATGGACAACAAACGTATTTATTTGTTTAAAAACAAACAATTAGGACAATAGCTTCTTCCTTTCTTTCTTACCCCAACTTGAGTASTGCAGCCTCTAAAGAGAGTAGCAATTACAAAGATTGTTTTTTATTCTTCTATTAGATATTTACAAGAGTTTTACCAAAAATTCAGCATTAAAGGAATATTATGAACAGTTAGTTAATGTTTAGGTATAAAAGGCTTAACATCCACACATACTTTTGGAGCTGAAGGATAAAGTCACATTCACTTTAGATTCAGATTAGGAAACCTTATTTAAAACACTAAGCAGTTATTAATTCCATTAAACTTAATGGGACTAACTTATATAAGTAACTTTCCACTCCCATAAATACTGGATTCCATCTAATCCCTGCCCTTATTTACAGCTTTCCGTCTGTGATCACAACGGGGGCTTTTTCTTTGGATAAAACACAAAGCTCTTGTCAAGTTGGGAAATGCAGCAACCTCTTAAAATTGTCTTTGCAAACATGTACTTCTTTTCAAAGAAACCTTGGGATTTTTCTGTGCAAACCAGCAGACTCACAGGGAATTGAAGCAATTATCAGCACTCAGTATTTTTATAAATACATTTACAAGCATTCCTAACCTGCAATAGAAGAGACTACCTAGGCTTAAGATACAGCTAAARTAAGATGGTGAAAGTTCTGATTTCTTTATTAATCATTTGCTATGAAATAAGGATGAGACTGACATTTGAATCAGAAAAAAGACTCAGAGAGAGTTTGCACACTACAAACTGTCTGAGATTAACAAATTCTACTGTGGAAAAAAATATCTATTCTAAGCAATCCAAAACTTACTGTGTTTTGAATTTCAACATAAGATTAWGAAAAAAAAATCAGAGATTCCTATTAACTATTCCTATAACTAACTTCCTTTAACAACTTCTTCCTACACAACTAAAGAGCAATTTGGAAAAGCAGAGATGAATTTCTAACTTGAGACAACATCAGGCATAATATTACAGGAGAAAAGCACAATCATCTTTAAAATCTTGTTAAAAAAAAGGCAAGAACTATCATGACATCAATGTTTTTCAGACCTTAGAAGACCTATCTCTTAGGAAGGGCAGACAATTATATTATTAGAAGGGTCTGTATTTTTTCCGGATGGTTTTGAAAACATAAAGTCTTTATATGGTATAGCACTGTAGCATAGCTCAGCACAATTAGTCTAATGATCAAAGACTATATGGTCGAGTAAGGCATAAAAAAATTGTCATTTCTACATTAGTTGTTCCAATTATAGCCAAAACAACAATTTTAATAAAAAATAATTTAACATGTAAATAAGCRAGTAAACTGTATTTTTAATTCCTCTTAATTAACTAGTATTTTAATCTTCAATATTGACTCATTCTTAGCAAAAATATATCACTACCTTATTTCGGTAAAAAATTATATTTCTTTCAAAAAACYATGTTAACGTTTGATTTTTTTGCCAAGGGAGATTCTACCAAGTCTTACACAGGAGACAATGTACTGCACATGTGACAGCTCATTAAAACTAGCCATAAAGAGATCACTTCATGACATTAAWCATCAGAAATAAGTGCAATAGATGAAAAATAGAGAAACTAGAAATCGTACAGGTTGCTGTGCTGCTTCATCCTTCATGAGGTCTTCATAGACCTCCCCACCTTCATCTTCTCCATAAACACAATCATATAAGTCCTCATCTTCTCCAGTTTCACTGAAAAATATGAAACAATGAAARAAAAATCAACACATCTAAATTACCATGTAGCTCTGCAAGGAACCACTTCAGAAAAAGATCGCTCAAGAAAACAGAGCAACAGATCCATCTTACAAAGTAGTACATTAAAGGAAATTAAGTCCTATGATCTTCTTACCACATTTAAAATATGATTGTATGAGATCAACACAACACTGATGACTGTCTCCCAATTCTGAGGCACTTATGAAGGCGTACTTTACCAAGTAAAGATGTGTATTCAATAACATCACATAAATATCAAACAACTAAAAAACAATTTTTCATTCAGCTAAAGATTTACAACATACTCTATTAGATCAGGAAGACCTTTGTAGATGTCTTCATCATCAACGCTTTCTTCAGTAGGGAAGGGCCTATAGAAATAAAAATAGCATAAATTATATCATACTGCTCTAGTCACAAATAGTTTTCTGTTTTGTTCTTAAAATGCTAACATTAAGAAATATTAAGCTATGAGGAGTATGCTTCCCTTCCTCTGACAAATAGTATTTATAATTTCATATTTAACAAACTAAAAATGCTACTGAGTGGGGTCAATATAAATGGCCAAAAATGTACACCATGGTCAGATTTTTAAATACTCAATAGCAGCAGTAGCGCTACAGTCAAATATCAATTTTCAGCACTGCATATACATTACACAATTGGCTAGAAATTTTTACCTTTCTTCTTAAAGATCAGTTATACATGATGATATGACTACAGAAACAAATCACTCAAACCAGAAAAAAAAACAMAAGTAAAGCATACTATTTTTCATCTTTGCTCACAGCCCCATGAATGGGTTTTCTCCTCCCTCTCCCTTCTGAAAATCATGAAAATTCATTCTTCTCCTCACAGATCAGTGTTGCAGCAGCCTGATGTACGACTTGTGTCTCAAAATTATTTCAAGTTCCATAATACCACTCTGTTTCTTCACCCTGTGTATGGTGGGTGTCTTCTGGGTATACCAAAAGACCTCTCTCACCTCAGTAAATACACCTGACAAAGAAGATAGATGCCCTGCTGAACTCGGAGCTCAAGGTCCAGTTTCGGTTAGCTGTCCCAGAGCAACACCATTTGCAAGCAGTGAAGTGCTTACTGGAGAACACCAGCTGCCAGGATGCTCTGCATCTCTTCATTCTCTGCTTCACTTATCTAGGCACCCATTACGAGCTCTGTGATGCCCTGTACAGCTTCTAACAGTCTTCCCAAGGAGAACCATGCAAGGGGCATTATTCCCATAAATCTCTGCAGTTGTAACATACCTTATTCCTGTGCCAATTGCTATAGGAGTACGGGAAAGTTTTGAGAGCGTTTCTATGACCTGCAGAAAAAAAGGAAATAAAAATATGTCTAGTTGTCAAAAAGAAACATTTTGCTCTCTAGTGTTTAGTTATCAGCAAGTCACAAAGACCCTGGTCACAGCCAATCCCAAGTGTACCCGGCACCCACCCATGGCTCACTGCCCAGTACCTGCTCTTCAGAGCTTTTGACTCGGGGGAAACAAGGGGAGTAAAGAGAAAAGATTTGTCTTATTTACAAGAATTATCTTTTTAACAACTCTTAGCTAAAGTAACATTTAGCAGTCATATCATTCAGTAGCTTTAAATTGGACATTCAATTTTCAATTGGATGTGGGTGCAACCACGACCTCATTTTATCTTACAGGCTGCTCCAGCAAGGAAAACTGGAACGCTTTTCCAAACAGGGGCCAGAGGAGGGAGCCAAACACCAAGCAAGCAGATGCCACCTCGTCAGGACTGTTTGATTCCTAAGAAAAGACTCCGCAAACAGGAAAAGCAGCATCACAGCTGAGTCCCGAGCTAGGTTTATTTTCAGCAGGCAGCAGCCTTCTGGGAGCTTTCTTTCCAAGAAAAAGCTGGCTCTGCAGGGCTCAGGGTGAGCCCTCCAAGAAAGAAACATGAGGCCAAGGAGCAAGACGCAGCCACAGCCATGGGAGTGTCTCGTGTCCACAAGCACACACTGTGCTCTGCCTACTCACACCCTTTGCCACAGGCCAGTTTTTGCACTTTAGCCGCTACCACATAGGCAGGCGGGACCTGCAAGAGCATCAAAGAGCCAAAAGGACAAGCGCTGCGGCCCTCCTCCCGTCCCAGGGCAACGCTACCCAATTCGTTGGTTCTTACTACTCTAAAAACTATATTGAAGGAAAATTGAATTTAGAAGACAGTATTTGTAGTATTAGATTTTAAGCATAGCAATTCCTTGAGCAATTCTGAACAATCTCTACAATTAAAATTATTTAATTCTGAAGCTCTCATTACAAGACTAAACTGATGATAAAATACACCATAGAAAAGTACATTTCTTATAAAGGAAGGATAATGATATGTCTACAAAGGAAAATGGCAAAGCAGAAACCACACAGAATAACCACCAACTGCAGAGCTTAAACTGAAGGAGTCTCCAAAACAAATCTGGTTTCGTTTATAGATTAGCAAGTTTCGGAATAAAACCCTGTGCCATGTACTCTAGGTGTCCCTACCTCAGCATAGGGTTGGACTAGATCATCTCTAAAGGTCCCTTCAAACCTCAACCATTCTGTGATTCTGTGAAAAGCAGCTACAACATTCCCATGAACAGAAGGTTTGGAGTTCGTCTGTTATGAAAAATAATGCCATAAACTTTTTTTTTTTTTTTTGCCTCACAGAAATGGAAAAGAAATATGCTATCAACTTACCCAAAGCCATAGACAAATTCCACAGTGAACAGAAACACTGCATCTTAGACTAGGAAAAAATTTAWATTGTAAATCTAGTTATTTGACTAAACAAAGAAGTTATCTAACTGCATTAGTTAAGAGGTGAAAACCACAAGGCTCCTTTAGAGGAACCGTGTTATTTTGCAACCAGGTGATTGCAATTTAGGCACCATTGCCTCTGCCCACCTGGAAAATCCTCTGCACACAGAACTAGACAAGAACTGCAAGACACATGAAACCACCTACTAAACAGAGTGCACTGAGAATTCAATAGCAGCAGAATGACTTGGCCTGACAGATGGGAAGATATCGACTGGCAAGGCCACAGGAAAAGAGGTTTAATGATTATCAAAAAAAAAGGGCAAGTCCTTTGAACTAACTATGCCTTGCACAGTTAAATATGTCTCAGTGCAGACAAAGTCTTTTTCAAACTACACCATCCACGCAAACCTTTTTTCTCATGGGAAATTCTTATTCATCTAGTACAATCAAACCTTGTATAAGTATTCTTTATAGTCCTCTATAATTATTCCAAGACAACACAAAAAGATTTGTACAAGAAACCATCAATATTAGGGAGATACTCTACAAAGCAGCATTCCCAAAACACCCTACCAAGTTACATGTGGCAGCTGTCAACACAGAAACCAGAGCAAGAGTCGGAAATTAACAGGCAGGAAGGAAACTCTGCCAGGAACTGATGCAAACCTTTTATTTTGTGAGGAGAGAGAGAAAAAAAAAAAAAAAAAAAAGGTCAGAAAAGGTGTCTATGAGAACATCCACACCACAAGGACCGAAAATAGAATTAAATGACTGGAGAAACCCCAATGTGGCAATTATGAGTTGCTACATGGAGCAACTTTGACTGGGGCTAATGGGATCTTAGATCTAAATACAAAATTAGCAGTCTTCACAGCTTGTTTTTTTTTCTTTTCTAGTGCCTGTATGAAGTCTAGAACAACAGGCTTCCCTGGCTATGACTGCTCTAAAACAATTGCACAGTTTCCTCCCGCCTTTGCACACACACTGGTACCTGAAATGGCAAAAATACAATATTTGTATTTATGTTCTAGATATTTGTGACAAGTTAAAAACCACCCAACTCACACTTACTTCAGGAAGACAGCAATGTGCTAGTTGGCTTCTCAGTCCATAACCGCTTTACGAAACATGGGGCTTGGCRCAGCTGCAGCTCCTGGCGAGGCCCAGGCTGCCATGGGCATGCACTCATACCTACCATCCTGCTTCCTGCCCCAGGATTAGGGTTTATTATTTCATGGGAAGTCTTGTTGGTTTTACTCTTGTTGGAATAATTCTCCACTTTGGAAGAAACAAAAGTAAACACTTTGCAACGGTCTCCCCAAACAGGCCACATTTTATTGCTAAAAGTGGCTGTGATCAGGACTGCGCAGCCCCTTACTTCTGATGTCTAGCTACACAGAAATGTGAAATTATCAAGACATGTTGTTGGCAGCTATTTCACAAAGTACATTTATATCGATGAGAATACACACTTAAATCAGAGTGAATCTTTTTAAGACACCGCAAAAGTCCTCAAGATTTCATAAGCTGACTAGTGCATTCACAAGCTTGATGCCAGGATCCAATTAGCTGAGACAACAGCATCTCAGCAGAAAGCAGTGAAATACCGTTTGCCACCCCACAGAAAGAATTTTCTCCTCGTGTTTGACAAAAACTTAGTATTCTTCACTTTGGTGTACAACATTAGTGTAATCACTAACCCTTGCCATTTCAAAAATCAGTTCCTTCAAAGGCTAAGTCTAAAGGACATTTGTATTTCCACTGGAAAAAAACTGCATTTGCTCAAAACTCTTACCAGGACAATTCCCCAGTGTCTCAAACTCAGGATACTCCAAAGCCCAGACAACCACTCCTGCTCACTTGTCAAGGTGTTTCCCACTAAACTGTTTTCACTCATGCACAGGATTACAGAGAAGAACGATGGAAAAACTTTGCTCATCTGTCACTCAGAAATAATACAAAATGGTTACGTACTGTTTCAACACATTTGTAGTGAAAAAGAAATTGTTATAATTTGCTACTCTGAGGAAAATATCAGAGTTGACAGATCATGGACAGTCCCTGATCAAAAAAATTATTTGGTCCAGAAGGCAGGAGAAGATGGATTATCACAGTCCAATACCACCTTTTAGATGAAGAGACTTTCAGAAACTACTGCATGTACATTCAAAACTAGCTTACCCAACAGATGTGCGAAAGGACTTCTAGCMAGACAACTCCTGGATGATTACCCAGCTGCTGATGTACAGAACACATAAGTTTAAGCAAAGGCTGCTATTAAGTTATATGGAACATTTTCTCTCCATCTCCCTTGCTCTGTATTACTCTTCTATGTTGGTTCAGGTTAGATTTTCATCAAACCAAAAGCACCTGGCAAAGGAAAAAGGATGAGGACTGGAGGGGAGGGGGAGGTGGGGAGAGCAAGAAGGCATAAAGCAAAACCCATTCAAAACAGAAAAGGCCAACAGTRTAAACACAAACCTTTGGTTTCAAATGATGGCATCCTCTAACAGATTCTTACTAAACAAAAGGAAATTTCAAGCACCAAAGATACAAACACCCCTTCACCAAACACAGCTGTGGCACACATTGAGGTGTCCAAGCCATACACGCATACACGAGAAAAGGCATCTTACAGTCTTGGCACACTCATCCACATTTAATGTGAAACACCAGCAACAGCAGAATCCAGCATGTAGAAATATAAACCCCTGGGTTTGCTTACACAAAGCTCCATAYATAGCTCAATGTTTTTTCTCAACTCATTCAAACACTGTAACATAAGCCTTAGGTAGGGAGTTCTGGTAGCTGCAATAGAAAGAAAGACTTCCTTAAACTCACCAACTTACTTTCCACAAGGGCAGTCACCAGTTGGGGGTGCTGTYCCTTTCCTCACCCACAGCTATGCTGATTCGGGAGCATGGTCCACATCCATCCCTTCAGTTCCACAACTCTTCTGTCTTCTTTCCACCTCCCCTCTCAAAAAACAAACAAAAAAAACCCCACACAACACGACACACAAGCCAACAAATTCCAAATCCACTGCCATTCCAGCTCTTCAGCCTTGCCTTCTCTCCCAGTTTTATGTAAGCTAACTTCAGAGATGCAAACTAGAGGAGTTTCAAAGGCTGGGGGAACCAATAGCTATAAACGCTACAAGACTTTTTGCAAAGTCCAGTACAAGGCAGAGGCGTGTCAGGAAGGTTATGCAGCAGGGAACACTTGCATCTTGTTTCACTGCTGGACAGAGACATTTCACACCCTGCAGCATCCCAGAAGAGCTCCAAATTGCACCAGCAACATCTGGTTTCACATAACCACAGCTTACATGTGGTTACAGTCCCCTCCACAGCAGTTAAAATAGAAGCATTAAAATGCAGTAGCCAGCAACACCAAGGGGCAGGCTTGACCAACCTGCACCTCCCTTCAAAGCTCACTAAAGATTTTCCATATTTTAATTTTTCTCTTGGGAGTGATCTCTCAGCTCACTTGAAATCCTGAATCAAAACAYTGTAGATTGAACCACATCATTATGACCACAGAATTCCCAAACACAAAGA